AGCCAGACCTTGATCAGGTTTTAGCCCCAGGGCAGGTCTGGGGAGCCCCACCCAACAGCATGGAAGAGAACGGGGAAGGCATGCACCATGGAGACAAAAGATTGCTGTCAACCTCAGACCCTCAAGTACACTAGAATGGCAGACTGAAAGTGACTCCATGCCCTGGCTGGGCCCACAGACTTGTGGGCCACTCCTCAGCTGTGACCCTGGAGGGGCAGTTAGTTCTCCACCAACCCCCACACTGAGCTCCTTGAGGCTCCTGCTGGCTCCCGCCAGCTCTGCCCCATGTCCACACAGGAGCCCAGCTAGAACCTGCCGACCATATCTGGGCCCCACAGTGCTCACAGCCCGCTCTAGTGCAAAGCCATGCCTAGTTCATGTAGCCAAGCCTCTACTCCACAGCTTTTTGAGCGAGCTGGGGCCCCAACCCGCTGCATCTAGGCCCCGTGATGCTCACAGTCCGCCTAGCCCTCTCAGCTGCGCCCTGGGCCCCCGAAGTAGCAGCTGTGCAGCCGCTGCCTGCCGGACTCATTGCAAGCTTTCTGCTGCCTGCTGCCTGTGCTCTGGTCAGAGAGAGCAAGGAGGCAATGTTAGGTTAGTCTGTGCCAGTTCAACCACCACTGAAGGGGTCTCCATCCCTTCGGCTGGCAATCTGGCCCACAAGTCCCAATGCATACACAAGCTCAGGCATAAAACACTCACACATGTGGCCACAGTTCTCACACATTTATACATTTATGAAGGTATAACAAATAACACTGACGAACAAGATAGGCAGACTAAAAGGAAGAACAAGGGCCTTACAGATGGTCCAGGCAGACGAGAGTCCCGAGAGGGAGCCTCGATAATGCCAAAAACCTACGGATGGGACAGGGACAATTCAACAGAGTCTCCCGATCCCCAGACAGACCCCTCACAGGTGTCCAAACAGACGGACCCCTCTCGGGCATCCTATGACGGGGGGGGACCTGTGAGGACCCCCGCATCCTGATGAGGAGTTGGAATGTCTTCCAACTCCTCCATGGTCACCTTACAGGCGCGTCCGCCAAGGTGAGCCTGTCAGATTCAACCGCCGGCTTCAGATAAGAAAATGAAAGTAAAAGGAAAGCAAAGACAAGAAAATGGAGCACTCTTACCGATCGGTGCAGATGGACCTCCGGAGCTCTTAGGGGTCCTGGCAGGGGGTCTCTGGGGATCCCCGAGAGCCCCCAAATGTTGTGCCCAGATCGTGACCCCCAGAGAGACCACCAAAGACGAGCATGCCGGAATGCAAAAGCAAGGTTTAATTCTGGATAACCAAAAGCAATACAAGCCTAGGCAGGGACTTCGTCCAATACATCCAACCCAGTGGAGGCTGGAGGAAGCCTTTTGTTTTGTTTTAATCTTCCCTGGAGTGATACAAAATAACTTGGGGCTCCTATCTCTTGACCATCGAATTGCAGGCATCTTCGGACACCGGGTCAAACACAACCTAACTAAGAAAAGTCTTACTCAAAAGACTTACAACAATTTTAGTTCATATTGTATTTGTGAATTAGAGTAACTGTAGCTTACAGATTTTCACTAGTATAGAATATTAGATTATGTTATATACTGCAAATATAATTGTAAAATACATGTTTAGTGGACATTTGGATATTTTAATATTTTTCTGACACAAATATGCATACATTCATACATATGACTTTTTATTACATGTATTGTGTGTATTCGTGTGTGTATGTGTGTATAGTTGTGTGTACTTGTATATGTGGCTCATATATGTCACAATGCATGTGTCAATGTCAGAGGATAACTTGTGGAAGTCAGTTCCCTCCTTCCATGATGTGGGTCCCAGAGGTTGAACCCAGGCCACTAAGCTTGGTAGAAAACAGGTTAGATCAGAGTATCTGAATCAGCTTTACCAAGTGATATCAAATTGTTCTCAAATACATTAATGCCTAGTCACTCTTTTTTATTTTTATTTTTAATTGAAAAAATTTTCCAAACAATATATCATAATAACAGTTTCCCCTCCCCAAACTCCTCTCAGATCCTCCCCACCTTCCCACCTATCAAATTCAACAACTTTTCTCTATTTAGAAAAAAAAAACAAAAAACCCAAACAAATCAGAATTTTAAAAAAATAAAATAAAAATACAAGAAACACACACCTACACCCCCAAATGCATGAAAACACGAAATCAGAGACCATAATGTACAAGCAAAAGACCAGCAAGGCCAAAAACAAATGTCTAAACAAAACAATATGAAACAAAAAGTCTACAAAAATATCATTGAGGTAGTTTTGTGTTGACCATCTACTGCTGGGGCCTTCCCTTAAGTGTGGTTAATATACCCAGGAAGACTCCATTGGAGAAAACAAATTTTTCCTTTGCAAGTGGTTGTCAAATGAAGATAGCTTCTTGATTAGGAATGGGAGCCCATGTCCACTTCCCCCTCTCAGTGCTGGAACCCCATCTGGCTTGGACCTGTGCAGGTCTTGTAATGCCTAGTTACTCTTACAATGCAGAATATGAGAGTTTCTACTATTCAGCTTCTATATATCACTGAGTATTGTCGGTTGAAGCATTCCACCCAGGAAGGGAGGCTTTTATCATTAGTTTTTAAATTTGTATTTCTTCAAATGGTTCTAAAGTGTAAATGTTTATATGAAAAATATGTGTCAATCAATAAAATTTGAACATTGGGTTTTTGAGTACATTAAAAGGTTGTTGTCAGCTATGCTGGTACAGGCCTATAAAACCAGCACTTGAGAGCCTGAGGCAGTTGGATCACAAGTCCAGGGGCAATCTGAGTGTCATAATGAAAGCCTGTCTCTAAATGAATTAAATAAAAAAAGAGGGTGAGAAGGAAAATAATGGTCAGCCTTTTTGGTGTTACAGTGGCAACAGGTTGTAGAGGAGGAGTACCTTCAAACTTATAAAATGCATATTGTACCTTCAGCTACAAATCTGGGCTACTCTATGGACACAGATCTTTATAACAAGACCAGCAGGTGACCAAGAACATGAACAAGTTGAGGTATAGTTGCAAGGATAGATGCTTTAACAAGCACACTAACTTTGTGGGCAACATGATCACAGAGCACCATGGAGCTAGTCAAAATCTTCCAGGATGAGTAAGTTTCGAAGGAAAAGGAGGGAAACACGTTCCCACAAAAATAAAATAAGAGGGTCTGAGCTACATCACGGCTGCTAGGAGGAAAGCAGCTGCCAAGGACTGAGCTTGCTCAGATGGTGTGCATTCCAAAAGCATTAGAGAACAAAAGTGTATTGAAGTGCATTCGGACAAAATATGTATTGCTAGGAAATTCAAATTTAGAACTGGGGCAATGAGAAAGAGTACAGATGAATCATGACTGACCACAGATAGACCATTATTGAGGATGAAGTCACGATCTATGTTTGAATTTCCTTTGATTTGTTGATACAAGAATACATGAATGCTTTGGGTGGAACATGTGGCTTCGTACATGCTGGAAAGTATTCTTCCATGCAAATACTCCCCAGTGCTTGATCTTTACCATTGTTAGAAATTCAGAAATATCTCATAAGTTCATATAAGGAACTGAGTCAACTTAAACAAAGGAAAAAGCTAAACCCAAACAAAAATGAGTAAAATATACTTCATGGCTTCAAAGCCGATTTGATATTTCTCTTAACTCTAGGAATCAAAAAACTAGAGGGAAAGAGTGAAGTTTTACCTTGCCTCGTGTGTGTGAATTGAATGGTGGAGTAACCAAGTGGTCATAGAAGATAAGGTCAAACTCTAAAAGCTTCTCAGCTAATTACAAAGATGTTGGAAAGTGACTTTTGGGGATTCCAGTGTGATCACTTGTGGAAACAGGGACCACGGGGAGATCAAACTATCAGTAAGATGTAAAATCTATGGGGCTTAAGTACAAATTTGATTAGAGTTTAAATGGGAATTAAGCTTTCCCTTCATGGAGCAACAGATTCATGTATCAAACCTGGTAGCACTAAAAAGTACCAGGCTCATGTTACACCTGGTATACCAGAGTCAGTTAATAATGCCACCACTCAGGAAATGCTCTTCCTCAAACAGCTCAACTGGAGTTTGTTGAATGACAGGACAATTAACCCACTTTGTTCAGCAAATCGAAATAGTTTAAAACTGCATGGATGAGAGGCACAAGGGAAGTCATGGCCGTATACCTCCGTGCAAAAGTGTTGTCAGTTATGAACTAGGAGGCAGACCTAGGAAATTATGTGTAAATGGATTGAGAAAAAACTTTTGGGGCCTGGGAATTGTTATAAAACAAATTCATCTGAATTAAAGCATTCCACCTTGGAGGGAGGCTCTTAAAATTCAGGAGGTAGCTGGGCATGGCGGCTCACACTTTCCATCCCAGCACTCAGGAGGCAGAGGCAGGTAGATTTCTGTGAATTTGAAGTGAGGCTCATCTACACAGCAAATTCCAGGACAGTCAGGGCTACATAGAGAGACTCTCTAAACAACAATGACCCAGGAAGTTCAAAATTTATACCTAAAGATGCCGCTGAAATGAGGAGAGGAGACTGTGATACCCACTGGGTGGCTTTTGTGAGTAAACACCCATACTGGGGTGGCCTTTTTGGTGATGCAGCTGTCTTGAGTTGTCCCTGCTCCTATAGATAACTCCTCACCCATATTACTGTAAGTAACCCCAATAAACACATTAATTTGCCAACTTGGTCCTAGGTACAACTGTTTATTTGTTCTGTTGCTGATGCCCTATCTTGGGGTAAGTAATTTTTTTCACATTTCCCCAGAAAGTGGCATCCAACAAGGGAAGCAATGAAAAATAGTGAGGATTTCTAACAGGGAATACCTGTTAAGCTTTTAAAGGTTTAGGAAGGTCAAAAATGTCATTTTTACAGAATATTATTGGATTATATGGGCATGAAAGGATGGGGTAGAATGCCTCGGGTTTAAAATACTTAGGGAAAAGGAAAATAGATTTAAAAGACTGAAGGAGAGAGCAAGGAAACACAAAGAAATCTTCAAGAGTATTTATTTTTTATACTGCGTTGGGGAGATTCCTTACAGCAATCTGTCAACTTCAACATAGTTTGGGAAATTTCGTCTGGTGGAGAGATGACATGGGAAACAGACCCACTTTCATTTTATGGATTCACAGGAGGATAATATATTCTGACACTCATTTCCATATATACTATATTCTTGAATTCTTTGCCTTCATCAACAGTAATTAAAACTCAGATCTCATAAGACCAAGTAGGCAAAATTTTACATAATGAAATCCATAAGCTGGCCAATAAAGTATAAAACAATAATAGAAGGTCCACTTGTCCACCTCAGACATGGTGGTGTTGAACTCTGGAAGTTTTAGGTTGACATCTTTAGGTTGATAAATACTTGCTGTAAATTCCTGGAAATTCTGAATTTTCAAGGCTATGTTAGGTGGTAATTTACTTAAAAATCTTAGAATGAATTTCAGTGTCTAGGTGGGTGAAAGGTGAAAGAAATGAAAATTGTGCCACTTAACACAAAAAAGAATGCAGCAAGAGTTGCTACTGCCAGGGCGCTGCCAGCTTTCTGGGTATCTGGGAAGGATGGGATGTGGAAAAATGGTGGGAAGGCAATATCTTCATTTCTCATGATGCATAAGTAATTGTACAAGAGAGCAAAAAGGACAAAGCTGCTAGTGAGGATGTTCAGAATCCCTAGAAAGAAAAATGAATTGTAGGTGGTGTTCTTCCTTACTCTCTCTGTGTACATTTTCCAAAGAGCAACAATGCTAGAAACTGTCCCAGCCATCCCCAAAAAGCTGGAGACCAGTACCAGGTGTTGAGCAACTCGAATACTCAATGGGATGAAGGAGTCATGGTAGTTGTATCGGTGACATACTCGGACATTGCTGGAGTAGTTGTTATTGTGGTAGATGCAGGTTCTCCACAGTCCTACTAAGGCCATGCTGGGCTTGGATTTCATGGGTTCTTGAAAGTACCATACTCGCCACTGAGGAAGGCCCATGGAGACACTACAAAATAGCCATGCTAGGATGGCTGCAGTGAACCCCGTTATCTGGAGATTGGTATCTTTTCTGAGTAGCATCATGGTGACAGTGAACACTGGGCAACTGCAAAGAAATACAGGACAGCATGAGGATGAGCTCTTCAGGCCTGGGACAGTGTTCCCTGAAGAAGCACTACCAGGAAGGAAGGGTTATGTTGAGAAAGTGTGGTCTGAGCAAACTCAGAGAGGGGCATTATTTACTGGCAGGGATATAATCAACACACCCTCTAACACTGGTCACACATGTTTAGAAAACAGTATGTATAGTCAGATGTTTTCCTATGTCCTGCCGTGGTCCAGACAAATCTCTCCTACCTGTGGTTCCATAACTGCTCATAAAATACTCATTCAGGGGCTTATATTAATTACAAACTACATGGCCTATACCACAAGATTCTTACTAGATAGCTCTTCTATCTTAAATTAATCCATTTCTATTAATCTATATTTTGCCACGTGGCTGTGGCATTACTAGTCTGTTGGCATGTGGCTCCTTGGGTGGAAGGCTAGTGTCTCCTCCACCTCTGCCTTTCTTCTTCCTGTCTCTCTCTTAGATTTCCTACCTGGCTATAACCTGACTGACCATAGGCCAGAGCAACTTCTTTATTAACCAATCATAGCAACACATATTCACAGCATACAGAAAGACATCCCACAGCACTTCCCCTTTTCTGTCTAATCAAAAAGAAAGGTTTTAACATTAACATAGTAAAATTGCATATAATAAAACAGTTACCAAGCAAGAATTATAATTACAATATCTAGTCTATTTGTATTTAGTAAAATTAAAGAAAATACTTTATCATCTATCCTATTTTGTGAGTCTAAAGTTTCATATCTAATTTATCTTTTATCATAACCAAGGAAAATTATAGATATCTAGTCTGCAACTACATCAAAGATCCAAGAAGGATATAATATTACCTAAGTAAACAGGAAGTTTATTGTAAGCAACTTCCAAAACTCTAGAATGACAGACACAGCTGGCTACCTGGACAGTCACCCAAAGTTTCTCTGTAATGTTGGGGCATCCATCTTCAGCCTATAGGCCTAGAGTTTTTTAGATGCTTCTCCCTGTGTCCCGTAGAATATCTGGCAGTCTCCTCTGTGAAGCAGGAACCTGAAGGACCATCTCACTTTGTTTTGGCAAAATTTAGTGGTCATTTTTCCATGGGTCCTGTGGCTGGGGAATGTCTTTCTATATGCTGCAAATATGTGTTGCTCTGATTGGTTGATAAGTAAAGCCACTTGGCCTATGGCAAGGCAGATTAGAAACAGGTAGGAAATTCAAAAAGAGAGACAGAAAGAAGGTGGAGGGAGACGCCAGCAAGCTGCCCAAGGAGCAACAGGTAATGGGACACAAGTAAAGCCATGGAACATGTGGCAATACATAGATTAATAGTTATGGGTTAATTTAAGATATAAGAGCTAGCTAGCAAAAGGCTTGAGCCATGGCCATGCAGTTATAATTAATATAAACCTCTGTGTGTTTACTTGGGGGACACGAGTGGGAGAGATTTGTCCTGACCGTGGGCCAAGCAGGACACAGGAAATCTTCTGACTACAGGTTCTGTATGTCCAGTCTATACAACATTTTGTCAAGCAGTCCATGCAAGAGCAGTTTCTTGCCCAAATGGTCAGTTCTGCCAAGAAGAAGATAAACTCCATATGGAGTGTTTTTGATGCCCATCTTCCTCTTTGAAGTAAATCTGTGCTGACAGGAGCAGACGTGTCTCACAGTCCAGGAAAGTTTTTAAAACATTTTAAATGCCATATTCTATAGGTCTTTTAAGTGTTTTAAGATTACCTACCTAATTGAAATATATCTATGTATACCTAGAAAACTTATCTAACAGGACTCTAAGTTTGATTATCATAGATGACTAATTATTAATCTGTATTTCTTAATTATATATTACAATTTCAAATGAGTTGCACAAACATAATACCTTATCAATAAACTAAAATCTATAGCAATGTAAAACATTTCAAACAAGTTGTTTCTCTTTAAAAGTAGATTCAATAATCTGCCTGTTAACACTATCATATCTATAATATCCCCTTTTCTTCTTTAGAAAGAGATTGTACTTATAATCAACCCCCTTTTAAAATAAAATAAACATTTATAAACAATATTTTGGGAATTTGGGTGTAGCTTTTCATACTACTTCCTGCTGATTGGAGATGCTGGCAATATTTTGGGGATCCTTAGAAAATTGAGGATAATGGTCAAGTCATGACTAGAGTAGTCTGTGAGACTGTATTGTCTGAGCCATTTGCTTTGAAGCTGTTTTGGATGTTGAATCCTCTGGAGACCTCTCAGGGGGTCTTTCTTGATGGAACCATATTAGCCTGAAAGGAATCCACAGCTTCTTATCTTCTGTGAAAAAATAAAGCAGAACCTCTTTTCCAAAGTAACATATCCTTAGACATAAATTTTGAAGGCAAGATACCTTTAAAATATATATATTGGTTTAACTTAGTAGTTTTTATAATCAAATGTCTCTCTCCAGTTAAAAATCCCAAAAACAATATAATAATATGCAGTATCCAGATTCTTTGTGTAATTCCCATCTTTACGTGGCTTACAACTTTTATATTATTCTTATTGTCTCTTTAAAGACTTTATTTTTAAAACTATTTTTCTTTATATAACTGTCTATATTCATTTTTCTCTCTTTCTTCCAAGTCTACATATATTTTTACATGCATTGTAAACCATTTAGAGTTTTATTCCATCTGAATCTTATTGTGTATCTATAGTCTTTTCCTGGCCAGGAGAGATTTTAAACTGTTAAGCTGTGTGGCTAGGATGAAAAGCAGCAGCCCTAGCTGCTGACTCCGCCCCACTCAGCTTTACTGCCAGCTCTGGGAGCCATGATCATCACAGACTCTGGGAAGCAGTGAGTCTATGCCTCCATTCAGCAGCATATATCCCAAAAACCTTATTTATTTATTATCATTATTGGTCTGTAATAGCAAAAGCTAAATCTGCCATGCAGTTAGAGACACCTCTGTGTACTATGGTGGGAATCTGCCATGCCGTAGGTCAAGCCACATGCAGTGAGCCCGCCATACTGTAGCTCACAGCTTGTCTGAGAGACATAAGTAGAAAGCTGTTTTTAGCTCCATCTTAAAATCTTTTTTTAAATCTTTCTTAGGTTTTGGGTGGAAATTCTTGCTGCCACAATGAGCGCCAAATGTAGCTGGAAGTTTGTCCGGTCCCACCCAGCCCCGCAGTCCTGCAATCGCTTATAAAATAAGAAAAGGGGATAGTACAGATGCAATAAAATAAAAAAGGTAGATTATTGAACTACTTTTAAAAAGCAACTACTAGTTTTAAATATTTAACATTGGATTGGATTTTTGTATATTGTATACAAATTATGTATATTGATACAAACTTGAGATTGATTTTGTTAGAAAATACTGTACATATATTTCTAATCTTGTTCAAGATATTGTACTTATACAGCTCATTTAACAATGTATTGCAATTTTCTAGTCCTTGAAAGTTATTATTACCAACTAATTAGAATATAAGAAATGTAAGTTAATAGTCTTGACAATCAAACTTGTAGTCATATTAGGTGTGTTTTCAAGGTTAAACAGAAATATATTTTAGATAGACAGATCATCTTGAAACACTTCAGAGATCTACAGAATATGGCATTTAAGATGTTTTAATAACAGTTTTTTTTATGACTATGAGACATGTCTGCTCCTGACAGTACCAATCTACTTCAGAGAAGATAACGGGCATTGAAGAAACTCCTCATGGAGTTTACTTTCTTTGTGGCAAAAGTTAGCCACTAGGCTGTCCTAGAACTATGTCCTCAGGCTGGCCTTTAATTAGAGGCACTCTTGCTGCCTCTCCTTCCCTAGTGCTGGTGTTAAAGGCATGAGACACATCAAATTACAAGTACCACATTTTCAAAGTTCACCCATAGTGTATCAC